TGAGCTGAATTCTTCACTGTACCTGTTCTGGTCAAGGCATGTCCTTTGAAGGCACGCATCGTGTTCATTTGATATTCAGACGCTTTCTTTGGGCATGCTAGTTCTGTGCGCAAGCATGGATTATTTACTCGTCTGGCAACTCAAAAACTCGTGAGGATTGCGCGAACCGCTCCCGACAGCCCGCAACTCCGCCCACTAGCCACGGTAACGCCCTACTTCATTCTTGAGACTTCCTGATGCTCATAAATCAATGAATATTGATATGCCAATGCTTAAATATTTTCATACAGCAACTTTTCCTGAAACTATCTTATTCGTTCATCTTTTTTCTACCACTTTAGTTACCACTTCCTTTGATAACTTCTCTTTTTTGCACTGACCATGCGTCACAGTAAACCGAATGAGAGAGGTACATCATCGGCTTGAATACAGCTATCTCATCGTCGGTACACAATAAATGAACACAAAGCAAGAGAGTTCCAAAGCTATCGTCATACCTTTACGGTTTTATCAATGACCGGTCGGTTTGATGGGCATTCTATGACAATCCAAAACTGGAATCTTACCCCAGTGTGTGGCGGGTTTGCCTATGAGTAACAGCGCTTTCATCTAATTTGAAATATTGCATGAATGATGAAGTTCCATGCTGATGCATTTTGTACCACTTGATGGAGAGTTGCTCGCTCCAACGAGAAGGTGCGCTGAACACCGTTCGATGTTCGAAAAATAATGGAAAGAAAAAAAAAGCATAGAAGCGACACTCGTGTATACAAACATTCCGGCATTCCGCTCTTCGGCAGAGGGGGAGGTGGTGTGTGGGGACGGGCAAGGGAATCGTAATTTGACGCGCGGCCGCGCGCGACGATGGGCGCGGCGTTCTCGTGTTAACTTGTCGGCTGGAGCACCGGACTTCATGTAGACCCCTTCATCGTAGACATTCATGAATATTTTGGAATTACGATTCTCTTGTCACATACCCGGTGGTGTGAGGTATCTCGTACTTCAAATTTTAGCTAGTTTCCTCGGCTAGTTCCTGTTAGATTACACGCGTCACCTTAGTGTGACCTGTAGACTCCTGTTAAGTGTTAACGAAGTGCTGCTATTGCATAGCATTCCAGGATTTCCCAGGTCTTCTTTCATAGGAAGCAACGGCAGTGATCGATGGAGACCTGCAAAATGCCCTCACCAGGCCAAATTGTGCTCAAATTTTTCATGCAGAAATGGATACTGTAAGATGACGAATTAGCGAATTAGTGCACCAATGCAACTCCATCATTTGAGTTGAGATAACGCCATACGCCATCCTCATTTTGCAAAGTGGAATGCTTTCAGCTGCATCCGTATATACCTTTCCCGCAGAACGAAAAAAATGAGTGGAATCTTGGAAGCGGGTAGCGTATAGTTATCTCGTTTAGCCCTTACAGGGTGATTCCCACCTCTCAAGCACCCCTGAGCCAAAATTTTTAGTTAAACAAAGCTTTTCTGTCGACAAAAGTTCCATTTCAAAGTGAAATTCAATACTGAAACGTCAGAACAAACTTTTATTCTAAAGTTAAGCAACATTGGAGAAGTCTCAACTCTTGAAGTTGTTTTCTGAATGGCTATACCACACTATTTACATGCTACACTAGAAGATCGTTAGAAACAAGTGAATGGAAGAATGCCGAAAACATCCGAATCCGGGAAGGATCTGGCAGAGAAGCTACCAACAAACACTCCCCCTCCCAGAAAGGAAAAAAGTCCTTATAATAGCATCGTCACCACAACCAGCTGAATACACCCTATATTTTCTCGTTTCTAAATTGCGAGTCCAAATGTCATGCCGAAATTTCAGTTTCATGTCGTCATTCTTTTATCATTAGCTGGTTTCTTATCGCTAAGTTATGATCAATAGTATCAGTAGCATAATAATTCTAATGTTGCTATGACCAATATTATCAGTAGATAATTTTTAAGTTGCTGATTTACTGATTAAAAGCCTGACGGATCGTAAAACAAAAAAAGCGATGGATATCAGATCACGAGAGTCGAGCATGCAAAAACACTAGCCCAGCTATGGCCAAAAAACTTTCACACAGCATCACTACAACTCTGTAGATAAATGCAGCTTACACCAAAAAAATGATTATGATTTATCATCGGCTAGTAACATAGCAGAACAACACTGATTATATTACGCTTAGGGTCACTGATGAACACACTGGAAATGGAACAAAATGTGGAAAGCGCTAGATATAGTGGGAGGGGGTAGGCTTGAAAGTCTCGACAGTGGCGAGGCTGGGCGGTGAAGCACTGGCCGTGCCGAACACTGCAACTCGGGGAGGAGTTCGAACGGCTCGGATACAGCCCTTAGTAGATTCCGTCAGCCCCACCGAAGCGTCCACCTCTTGGGACGGGATTCAAGCAAAGATGTAAAGAATATATGGACATTTATAGCAAGCCGTCAGGATACAGCTAAAATACGCTAATGAAGAATAAGAACGGATTAGTAATTTATACTATTGGGAAGCATGATGTTAGACAAGCGAGTGAATGGACCTAACTAAGGTTAGAATGAAGCCAGAAAGAAATACAATACGTGGAATAGAAAAAACATAAATACGTATTAATGTGCCTTGCTGCGCTGATTTTTTGAGCATGCAGCCTCAAGTACACAACTCAGCGACTTTTGATGCTCAGTATAACTTTTTCCCGGGCAGTGGGCTTTAGCCAGTGGACGGGCTGGAAATAGCACCAGGAGGACGTTTCCGAAAATATGAGTGGAGAGGAATGTTCCACTCGTTTGATAGTGGGGTGTCAGCATTTTACGATATGTCCTGTACCAAAGGGTTTCTATATTTCGCAATCCCTCCCACGAAAGTCGCTGGTGTGGTCCTCAAACGCGGTGGATTCTTTGATTACAACTGAATTTTCTTCAATTTAGTAACAATCCAGAGCGATTTTATTGTTGAACAAAAAAAAGCACATGGACTCAAAAAAGTCAAAAGCTCCGCTATTGTTTGCCGTCGGCAATCGAACATCGGTGTTTGCTTTAGGAAGGGAGTATGTTGGAGAGCGCAAATGTCTGCCAAACCATGCACCGAAAAGCACCTCGTCCCACTTATCGCCCTCATAGCCAGTGGTCCACCTAGACACCTTTTCCAGACTGAACGGCCTTTCGCATTGCCCTAAAACCACGAGATCGACGACTGTTTTTGAGCTGCAGTTTTTTTAAAATTTTCAGAAACAGTGAGCTCCGCTCTGACCTACTGCTTTCCTGCCAGATACTTACACTAGCTGCCCTTCCTCACCAATAGCTTTTTTTTCTCATGAGAAGGGTCTGAAAAATGAAGGCCAAAAATATCTGTTGTGGCTTTGGAGAGGCAGTTTATGAACACGCGAGAAATATGACTCCGGAAACGGGTACCAAACAAAAAGGCAACTCCCTGATGCTAACGTTTCATCTCTGTGAGAACCGGTTCCTCCCTAGGTGTTGTCCTCAGGCTTAAGGTATGTAATGTTCCTTTAAAAAAAGCCAACTATGATTTCCGACTCAGATTGAGCACGCGCGCTTCCAGGGTGGGTCAAGCAATGGCCCCCATGGGGAAGCTTCAGTTTACATTGTGCAATTGTCTGAAACGTAGTACAACTTCCTCTCACAGGCTGTCAAGTTCGCATCTCAGAGGTAGTTCGATTGCTCTGCTCCGCAAAAAGTAATCAAGACGCTGCGACTGTCATTAGCTCAGGAAACGCACCCCACCTGCAGAAGATGTCTCACCCATCTGGGAACGAGATATACCAGCGATCCTATATCCATTAAGATAGGTGTACGCGTTTCGCTCATTCAGTGCAGTACCTTCGTCGTTTCGCTCATGTTACAGCTCGTCTTCCTGCTCCTTTGTGCTTTGCCAATAGTTACGTAATTTTTCATGGAAATCCTGCCTACATATCGTTTGTATCATTGTCAAATATGTTAGCAGGTATTCACTAGAGAAGTGCCTCACCAAGATACTGATTTCCAAAGGAACGTCTAAAATAAGCCTATTAACAGTGCTACTGTTTCCTTGCTCACAAAATAGTGTTTCCTATAAATTGTGCTGTTTCGTTTTACCGATATTCTGGGGGCGATATCATACGATGCTCTAGTTATTCCTCAATACTTCAGATCTCATAGAGTGCTATCCAATCTCCAATGGACATACCAACAACCTCCACAACAGTCCCTATGGACCTCACTACTACCGCGTACGAGAAGGTTGGTGAGAACACTTTGTCTTCGAGGACCTTTTCATGAGTTTTTCAAATGTTTTTGTGACCATGAGAGCAAACAGCCCTTGCACATTTGCAGTTGTGAGCAGCCTAAAAACATATCCGACGGCTTGTTTCTCACATTACATGCAGCCCATCAACATAACGTTGCCACAAAGTCCCATTTAAACTGAAGGACATTCTTGAAAGTCGAGATACAAGGGTGAGACTCTCTACGGCACATGAACAGTAGAGATTGAGATGCTGTGTTTTCTCGTTCACCTTTTGGAAGTGATGAGCCTGTTCCCGTGTCAGGGTTAAAATGATCGGTTTTGGCTTGGCCCCAACCTGTTTCTTTTCTTTTTTTTTTTCGGCAAGTGACGTGCTGTATCAATTATCGTTCGTATCAGTCGTTTTCCTTTGGCTCATTTCACTTACCCTCTGCTTCAGAGCAGGGATAAAATATTGAATGATGTTGCTACCACTTTTTGGATGGTATTCATATTCTACGTGTTCGCCTCTGTCGCATGGATCACATACTGCGTAATTTCGTATAGAAGGTGAGCTTTGATGCGATTCCAAAATGACAGGGGTCCTGCGACGCTACTCTGGGGCAAAAAGTGATGAATTAATCAAAACAAAAACTTTATCACAGAAGAGATGAACATCTCCGAGCATCCGCGCACTAACCATATTTTGCAGGGATATGGAAATGCTTAAGCTTACTGCCCAGGAGAATGGTATCGCTCGATATCTGGAGATAAGGCAAGTAACAATTTTCTTCTCTGACGCGGTCGCGTGTGTCTTCTTTCCTTGTAGATAGAGCACTTTTAATCTATTATATTAATATGTGCACAAAGCTTTGTCTACGCCGTATACAACTCACAATGAGACGGGTACGAGGTGTTGGCAAGTGGCCAACTTATCACTTACCGGGCACTGACTGTGGTGAGGCTTTCGCGGGGTCTTATACTCGCTACGGTTCCCGCTTTCGCGAGCTCCAGAACTCGCTGTGCGCCCTTTTTCTGAAATTTGCCGTAACGGCTTTGGCTTGCTATAGACCGCTTCTTGGCAGAAAGGGTGAAAATCGCTGCTTTTTCAGCATAGTAATAGAAAAGGTTTTGTAAGGTTTTGCAGATCAGATGGAGCCCCTCAAAATTATGTGTTTTAATAGTCTCACGACTTGCCGTCTCCAAGAAAAAACATTAAATCAATTGCGGGCAACTTATTCTCCAGCCCAAAACAGATGATAGCGTCGCGGTCAATCGGCGCGCGATTTCACCAGTGGTTCTTTTTTTCCAAATCGACCAGTGACCAATCACGATTAGAGTAGTCGGAGGCCCCCTGACACCGCCCCGACTGATTGTGACGTCATCAGTTATATGTATATGAACAATCCCG